AATTCCCAAGACTCAGCAAGAAAATTACAGGAACTAATTGAAAGATTCAGTAAGTGGCAGGGAACAAGATCAACATACAAAAATCCTTTGTTGTTATTAAGTACCATACGTCTAGGGGCTTCTAACTACAGCGACCCTGTACTACAGGTGTATAGATGCTTTTTGTCCTGCCAAAATTTCTAACATCATTCACGGGCCATACAAAATTATTAACTTAAAATTTAGCCTGCCATATTTGGTCAAACATTTAATTTAAATCACCCCTGGTGTGACGCTGTGGGTTAATGCACCAGACTGCAAAGCTATTTGAACTGCAAGGTTGGTGGTTCAAGCTCACCAGCTACTCCTCAGAAACCCTATACAGGGTTGCTATGAGTCAGAACCGACTTGACATCACTTAACAACAAATGTGATGGCTGGAGTCCTGGAGTGGCACTGTGGGTTAATGTGCTAGACTGCAAAGTCCATTTGGACCAGAAGGCTGGTGGTTCAAGCCCATCAGCCACTCCTCAGAAACCCTATACAGGGTTGCTATGGGTTGAACAGACTCAATGACACTTAACAACAACAATGTGATAGCCGGAGCTAAGTTTGGCTAGACTGGGCCAGACCAAATGATTTCGAGGGTCTTGTCATTAGAGAAGGATATCATGTTTGGTAAGGTGGAGGGTTAGAGAAAAAGAGGAAGACCGCCAGCGAGATGGATTGGCAAAGTGGCAGCATCAATGGGCTCAAGCGTGGCAATAATTGTGAGGTTGGCCCAGGATCGGGCAGTGTTTCATTCTGTTGTACACAGGGTTGGTACCAACATGATGGCACCTAACAACAACAACAACAACATGGAGTCCTGTTGTGGCATTGTGGGTTAATGTGCGAGACTGCAAAGCCATTTGAACTGCAAGGTCAGAGGTTCAAGCTCACCAGTCACTCCTCGTAAATGCTATACAGGTTCGCTATGGATCAGAACTAACTCAGTGGCACTTAACAAGATGGAGTCCTGGTGTGGCTGTAGGTTAATGTGCCAGACTGCAAAGCCATTTGAACTGCAAGGTCAGAGGTTCAAGCTCTCCAGGTGTTCCTCAGAAACCTTATACAAGGTCCCTATGGGTAGGAACCAACTCTAAGGCACTTGACAACAACATAGGGCCTAAGGGCTGGGCATTCCCCACCCCTGCCATAGGGTTTTGGAGGAGCTGCTAGTGAGTTTAACTGCTGACCTTACAGTGCCACACCAGCAGTCCTTTACACTAACATAGAAATATGCTGAAAAGGAAACCAGGAAAAGAATACCATTTATAATGTTCCTGTTAAGTACCATCCAGTTAGTTATGACTCATAGCAGCCTTATGTACAACAAAAACACCGCCTGGTCCTGCACTACCTTCACAGTTGCTGCTAGACTTGAGCCTATTGTTGCTGCTACTATGCAAACCCATCTCACGGGGGTCCTTCTCTTTTTCCTGTCCCTTGACTTTACCAAACATGAAGTCCTCCAAACACTAGTCACTCCTGATATGTCCAAAGTATGAGAGACAAAATCTGGCCATTTTGGCTTATAAGGAGCATTATGGAGTCCTGGTACGGCACTGTGGGTTAATGCACTGGACTGCAAAGTTGATTTGAACCATGAGGTCCAAGGTTCAAACTTACTAGTCGCTCATTGGAAACCCTATTCAGGGTAGCTATGGGTCGAAACAGACTCAATGGCACTTAACAAGAAGGAGCATTCTGGTTGTACTTCTTGCCACACAGATTAATTAGTTTGTTCTTCTAGCAGTTCCCGATATCTTAAATATTCTTCTTCAACAGCATAACTCAAATGCATCAATTCTTCTACAGTCTTCCTTGTTCATTTTCCAATTTTCAAATGCATATGAGGTGATGGAAAATACCATAGCTTGTGTTAGGTACACCTTATTCCTCAAACTGACATCTTTGTTCTTGAACAATTTAAAGAGATCTTTTGCAGATATGCCTAATGTAATACTTTATTTGATTTCTTGACTGCTGCGTCCATGAGTGTTGATTGTGGATCCAAGCAAATTGAAGTCTATGACAACTTCAGTCTTTCATCCATTTATTATTATTACTTTTGGTCTAGATATGAGAATTTTCATATTCTTAATATTGAGGTGCAATCCACATTGAAGGCTGTAGTTTTGATCTCCATCCGTAAGTATTCCAATTCCTCTTTGCTTTTAGCAAACAAGGGTGTTAATGACTCTTTGTCCAATCCTGATGCCAGGTTCTTCATCTAATTCAGTTTTCTGGATTATCTGCTCAGCATATATATTAAGTACTGTCAAAGTATAAAACCCTGCTCAGCATATATATTAAATACTGTCAAAGTATAAAACCCTGTCACCCACATTCCCTAATTTTAAACCTTTGGTATCCCTTTGTTCTCTTGGAACAACTGCTCTTATTTTATGTAAAGGTTCCTCTTGAGCACAATTAAGTGTTCTGGATTTCCACCCAGTTGAATGCCTTTGCATTTTTATGTTGTCTGCTTCTCCAGTCAGATCTTTTCAGTTCTTGAGCATACTTAATTCCACTTCTTCTCAAGTCCTTGCTTTGCCTTCTGTTTGGAATGGTCTTCCTCCAGATCTCCCAAGGATGGGTTCAGTTTTTGTCACTGAGATGTGACCTCAAATAAACTTTATTAAACTCTGCCTCTTTTGTCTGCCCTCCAACTTCTGCCACCATCCTCAGCATTTCCAGTTTGTTTTAATAACACCTACCCTATCTGTGTGGTGCTGTGGGGTAATGCATCAGACTATAAAGTTGTTTGAACTGCAAGCTCACCAGCTGCTCCTTGGAAACCCTATACAGGGTCGCTATGGGTCAGGATTGACTTGACAGCACTTAACAACAACAACTCTTATCTGTATTTGGCAAATCTGCTCCACAAAACCTTTTAAAAGTATTGAAAAACAAAGCTGTCAGCTTGAGGACTAAGGTGCACCTGACCCAAGCTATAGTATTTTCAATAACCTTATATGCATGCAAAAGCTGGACAGTGAATAAGGAAGACCGTAGAAGAATTGATGCTTCTGAGTTATGGTGTTGGAGGAGAATATTGAAAGTGCCGTGGATTACCAAAAGAACCAACAGATCTGTTTTGGAAGAAGGGCAGCCAGAGTGCTCCTTGGAGGCCAGGATGTTCAAACTTCATCTCTCATACTTCAGATATATTGTCAGGAGGGACCAGTCACTGGAGAAGGATATCATGTTTGGTAAGGTAGAGGGTCAGAGAAAGAGGAAGACCACCAGCGAGATGGATTGGCAAAGTGGCAGCATCAATGGGCTCAATTGTGGTAACAATTGTGAGGTTGGCCCAGGATCAGGCAGTGTTTTGTTGTTGTACAGAGTGTTGCTATGAGTCAGTACCAACTTGATGGCACCTAACAACAACAACAACTAGGAGTCCTGGTGTGGCGCTGTGTGTTAGTGCTCTGGACTGCAAAATTGGCTTGAGTTGCAAGATTTGTGGTTCAAGCTCACCAGCTGCTCCTCAGAAACTCTATTCAGGGCCACTCTAGGTGGGAATTGACTTGACCGAACTTAACAACAACCCTTATCTGAAAGTCTATGTTCTTGTTTACCTGTTTACTGTTTGTTACTCAGCTCTAGAATGGGTTCAACTATGTGGAAAGACCTTGCTGATCTTGTCCTCAGACTCTTATATAATCCTAGTTCCTGTTGCAGTACCTGATACACAGCAAATAATAAAACACATAAATGAATGTATAAATACTTTCATACTCCAATTACAAGTCACAGTGCCTGGCTCAGTGTAAGTATTTGTCGTGGATAAGGAAAGAGCTGAATTAATGTTATTTTTGGTCAGTTTAGTTCTTTCCGTACAGATTATAAACTTGTAGAGACCGTGTTCCTAGGGTGCTAGTACATTCACACATGCCACATAACACATGCTAAATTGAAGCAAGGACGAGATTTGGGAATCAACTCATTTTGCAAAAAAAAAAAATGTTTTAAATCAATGCCACAGAAGTTTCCCGGGAAAGCAACCAACAAATCTTACGCTGCTAGAAACCAGCTCTCACCAGCACGCGCAGGTCCTCAACCCACGTGTATCTCAGCGCACGCATTTCCTCCACCTCCCACACTGTGAGCCGTGGGAGACTTTCACTGGGCTCCGCCCTTCCGGTTCGCCGCTGGCGCCAAATACTAGTCTCCAACCCTAAGAAGAGCTTCTGGCCTCGCGCCTGCGCAGAGGGAAAAGGCAAGTGCCGCGTGTACGGCAAATGCGACTTGCGCCTGCGCTTCGGTATCTTCTTAGTGATTCGCTCCTACCTTAAGATGATGCCACAGTTCAATTTTCACTTTCTCTTTTTTTTTTTTTTTTTCTCGTTTTCCTTCTGCAGTGAGGTTTTACTTCCGGTTGCTTGCGCCTGTCTGTGAGAAAGTCGACATGTTCCCTTAGGGTGTGTAGCGTCACCGAGTGCTTTCTTTTTTATGACTTTTTTTTGGAAGAACTGGATGGTCAGCTGAAGAGTACGGCGGACCTGACGGCTTCTAGCCGCGATTTCTTTGCCTACCATTTTCAGAACCGTGGAGTGGCGTTTACTCGAAAAGGAAAAGAGTGGTCCAGCACCGTCGCCAAAACCCGGGACTCGCGGCTTCCCTCTCTGCTGAATTCCCCCTTTCTCGCAGTCGCTTCTTGTTTGCTCTCTTGGCAGAACGACCGAGAGAAAGAAGATTGGCCGCTTTTTCGGACGAAATGCAACGTGAATAGACTTGGCTTCTTTTGAGGGAGAATTTTGGAGAGCTTTTCAAAACTTGGGGTTGAGGTCGCCTTTTGGAAATTCACGCGGAGGGAAAATTACAGAAGCTACTCGGAGTATTCATTGCTGAGAAGAAAGACATAAATATATATATATATTTGTAAAAAAATTGAAAATACATGCCACATTTGGCTAGCAGTGACCGAGAGAGAAGCAGCACATGTGTGAGAGGAGCGGACAGAATCTGAAAGCATGGGAAAGAAATTGAACAATTATCTGAAGTCTTCAGGGGCGGCAGCTCACAGTACAGGTAAAAAACCGACTCCATCGGTTCTGGGGCGCACTCGTTTGTGCACCTGGATAGACAGATCGCTGGCTGGAAGGAGAAGCGCCAGTCCTCTGAAATAAATGCACAATATTTATAGCTCCTCGGGACTTTTGTGGTTGCTGTTTTAGGGGCTTTGCCGTTCAACTGTTTAAAAACGATGATTGGTTTTGCATGTTTCTCTCGGATGAGGGATTAACGCGTTGCGTGTTTGCCCTGCGCTGGGGTAGAAGGGGTCGGTATTTTTCCGATACCTACTCTGCTTTTTAAATAACTGCTTTTTGCAACCGGTAGCCCTTTCCAGTACTGACTTGTAGATCCTAATTGTTTTTAGGAAGTCATCATTTTGCCAATTAGTATAGGGCTTTAAATTTCCTCTTTCACTTTTTTGAGACCAAAAGTCGACTACGATGAAAAGATTTCGTTTGATTGGCAAAGAACTAGTTCATCCTCGTGAGTGTTACAGTTCAGCATTAAACACTTGGCAGGTTTCGCTCATTCAAGTTGAATTGACTAGAAAATAATTTCCCACAGGTTCTGTTTTTTACGTGTAGTGAAAATATACACAAACATTCAAGTCTACAATCTCCATATGTATTTTTCAGTGACACTGGTTAAATTTCTTCACTTGCTTTTTGAAAGATGCCTGCTGAAGTTTATGAAGAGATTTGAGGCAATGTTTGACTTTTTTTAAAGTTAATTATAAAAAGGAAGTTTATTCACTCCGAAGATAAATTTAGCAAATTTTTAAGTAATGCAAATAGAATTGCATTTGTTGATCCTTGCAACTCAACATTTTGTCTGAAGGTGGCACTAAGCAGCATTTTGTGGGAAAACGTGGCAGATTAACCTCAAAAAATGAGGAAGATACTTTGAAAACCCCCATAGTTCTCTTAATCACTACTTATTTGTCATCTTTAAATTGAATTGAGCCCCTGTTGCCCTTTTTCATGCTTCTGGCAAGATAAAATTGTTGTTAAGTGCCATCGAGTCGGTTCCAACCCATAACGACCCTGAACAGGGTTTCCGGGGCTGTAAATCATTACCGGAGCAGAAAACCTCATCTTTCTCCCGCAGAGTAGCTGATAATTTCGAACTGCTGACCTTGAGGTTCACAGCCCGATTCGTAACCACTACGCTACCAGAGTTTAGAATGAGCAAATTTATGAATAGGACTGTACCAAGTGAGATATGTAGTTAAGGGGCTTCAAAAAGTAGGCGAAAAAATCCATTACCCGTAATTTAAAATTTCCATGAACTCTTTGAAGCCAACTTCTACATGGTATTGTAGTAATTTAGTGACCTGAGGTCCCACACACTGGTATTGGGGGGCGGGGGGCATTGGAATGAAAAAGGGGAGGATGGAAAGAAAAGGAAAAGGGGATGTTATAGGATGATACTGGTAGTAACTTTATCCATCAACATTTGTAACAAAGCAAATGTGCTGTAGTTTGTAAGAATACTCTTCTGTTGAAAATTGCCTTGTAGAATAAAAGAGCTCTATTGATGGCACCTAAAAACAGCAACAGTACTGCGGGTTAATGAATGCATTGGTCTGCAAGGTCAGCGGTTCAAATTAACCTCGGAAACCCTATACAAGGTCGCTATGAGTTGGAACCAACTCGACAGCACTTAACAATATTAATACAGTATCTTTAAGGAGCTCTGATAGCATTAGTGGTTACGAATCAGGCTGTGAACCTCAAGGTCAGCAGTTTGAAACTATGAGCTGCTCTGTGTGAGAAAGATGAGGCGTTCACTATGAGTTGGAATCCACTCCGCGGTACTTAACAACAACAAATCATATTTTTGGTGTAGCACTGTAGAATAAACTCAGGACCGCAAGTTTGGTTTGAACTACAGATCAACAGTTCAAACTCACCAGTCGCTCCTTGGAAACCCCATACTGGGTCACTGTGAGTCGGAACTGACTCAATGACACTTAACGGCAAAAACGTGGTAACTTTATGGAGTCCTGGTGTGGCGCTGTGGGCTAATGCACAGGACTGCAAGGTAGGTTTGAACTGTAAAGTCAGAGGTTCAGGATCACCAGCTGTGCCCCGGAAACCTTATACAGGGTCACTATGAGTCAGAACTGACTTGACAGCACTTAACATACAGCATCTTCAATAAATATCTAATGCTGGTGGGACAGGGGAGGTGAAAACATCTGTCACAAGTATTTTAAGAAAGACAGTGTTTTGAAATGATGTGTCTTGTATTTCTATATATATATTTTTTAAATGACGATACTGGATTATATGCTTCTAAATTGACCTTAAGTGATAGTTCCCTTTTATAGGCACTGACTCAGCAAGTACTGGATGGTAATACTATTTCTATTTTGTCGACTAACAACTGAAAGGAGTTCTGGTGTGGCACTGTAGGGTAAGCACTGGATTCGACCTCAAGGTTGGTTTCAATGGCAAGGTCGGTGGTTGAAACTCAACAGTCACTCCACAGAAACCTTACTTAGGGTTGCTATGAGTAGGAATCGACTCAGGAACACTTAGCAATTCTTCTGGTGTTGCACTGTAAGATAAGCACTGGATGTGCCTATTCATATAGAATACAGCAGTAGTTAGGTCTGTATGAACCAGAAAGTCAGCAGCTCAAACCCACCACCCTATACAGGCACTATAAATCGGAACAAACTCTAAGGCACTTAACAGTTCTTCAGTACTCATCAAAACCTAGCAATTTCAGAAAGGTTAGCAGCACTGTAGAGTTTCAAACCATACCAGTGAACTTTTCATACTCTGACACATTAAAATCCATTGGTCTGCCTTGTATCATGAAGGAATCTTTAGCTCATATAGCGGTCATTTAGAAAACAGTGGTTCACTGAATTATGCAGACTTAAAATGATGATACATCTCATATAATGCTTTTTAAATTAGTAATAAAAAGCATTGTTAATATCACCAGTACTTTGGTAACTACTGCCGTATTCTATATGAATAGCGACGTTTGGGCTATTACTGGTAGTGTTGCCATAACATTCTTGTTCATGTCGCCAAGCACTTATACTGTAAGATCTGCCAAAGCTGGAACATGTGCAAGGTGGGAGCCTGTGTAAGGTAGAAACCTGTCAGAAAAAAAAAAAGTATTTTCTGTTAAAATGAGGGACATAAAAGTGGTGACTGCAGACTACTCTGTCAAAAGAAACCTGGAAAAATAACTCCAGTTCTCACAGGTTTCATTCACAATACTTTCATTAGGACAAATAGTAGTGGAATTGCTGGGTTCTTGTTCAACTTTACTAGATTATGGAACTTTTAAAAAATGGTAGTTCTGGTTTATACTCAATCAATGGCAAATGTAGATTCCCCCGGTTGTTGTTATGTGCCATGCATATATCATTGTTGTTGTTGTTGTTAAGTGCCATCGAGTCGGTTTCGACCCATAGCGACCCTGTACAGGGTTTCCGAGGGTGTAAATCTTTACGGGAGTAGAA